AGCGCAGCGGGTTAAAGCACTGTACTAAGAAGCTAAAGCCACCTCTACATGAGTTCGATCCCTGCCTGCCCAGGAGGAGATCCTGCCTGCCCAGGAGGAGATCCACATGGCGTGGCAGACCTCTCCTGACCCGCCCACTGCTCCCCTCAGCAGTGTACCTCATCGATCTGTCGATCTGCCTGTTCTGCTCCCCACTCTGTCCCTGCTGAATCCTCTCACCCTTCACATCTCTGGCCTGTACCCCGGCTCCATGTGAATAAATAAATCTTTAAAAAAAAAAAAAAAAAGACAAAAAGCTGATGGTTCCAGATTCAAGGGGAGTAAGAAGCATCACCTAAAAACATGTAGTGAGTGCTCTGAGCTTGGACTGTGGTGTGCTATGAGGGTGATAATTGGGTTAATTGACAGTCAGTGTGCTAAGCTGAATTATGATCCCTCAAAGATTTTCGCACCCCAATATTTCGAATCATAAGTATACTAGGTTACATGGCAAAAAAGAATTAAGATTAAAGGTGGAACTGACGTTGCCAGTAAGTTGACCTTGATCCTGGAATTATATTGTTCTTGTGACTATCCATTGTTTGAAACATTTCTTAAACTTTGAGATAGATAACTGGTTAAAATGTATGGTGGAGATAAAAAGTAACTCCCACCATGCTTTGTATTCTTGAAAACAATGAAGGATTGTTTCCCATCCCCAGCACTGACCTACTAAGAAAAAGTTTTTCTCTATTTCAAAAATAGAGAAAATATACTTTGTGCTTTTTCATGTTTGTAACATGTATTGCAGACTGCGCCGTGGCTGGTAGTCTTCAAGGATAACAAAGAAAAATTATAGGATGTCTCTTCTTGGGGGCCTCCCTGGTGGTGCAAGGGTTAAATCTTAGTGCTATCAAGCAATCCCAGCTACTGCAGCAAAAGGTTGATCTCCAGCTGACCAACATGGCACAGCAGACCTTCCAGACCCAGCAGACCTCTCCAGACCCGCCTGCTGCTCCCCTCAACAGTGTACTTTGGTAGATGTGCCTGTTCTGCTCCCCACTATCTCTCTGGTGATTCCTTTCACCCCCTGCACCTCTAGCCTATTCCTCAGCACTTGTATGCATAAAAAAACAAATCTTTTTAAAAAAAAAATGTCTGTTCTTGAGCTGTTAAGGATCTTATCTGAGGATAGAGGACAGGTAAGCAGAACCAGGACTGGTGGCAAGGAGGGAAGAGGCTGGCGTGAGGCCAAGCCGAAGCTTGGGGTTGGGGAAAGCCCACTGAGGGCAACCAGTGAGATCATTTATCTCCCAGCACCTGGCATGGAGCAGAGGTCCAGTCTTGTGGTTCCCTTCATGCTTCATCTCCTTGTCTTCAAAAACTGTAATATAAGGGAAGGCTCCTGGGAGATAAGGTTGGGGAAATAGGGAAACCGAGAGCCAGCCCACCGCCCTGCATTTCTCTCTACATGTTTCATAATCAAGTCACTAGGATTTGATTCCTCTTTTATCCCCTCTAGGTATCAAGAAGTCACCATAGATTTTAGCTAATGTAGAAGCCTTTAGTCATTCAACAAGAACTTTTTGAGCAACTCCTATGTCAGGTCCCAAGGCAGGGGGGATAAAGAGAAAAAGAGATTGTGGCCCCCATTTGCTGTGCTTACTGGCTTAAGCAGGGGCATTTCCGTGTTCTGGGAACCCTGAGCAGGGCAGCTAACCTTGGGAGACTTGCTTGGGGAAGCGATCACTGAGTCTTCAGGGTCTAGTATGTATCGACTGACCAGGCAAATAGAAGGAAAAGTCATGTGCAGCAACTGAGACTGGAGAGAACACGTGTGCAGGAAAGGCAGGACTGGGAGACACATCTGAGGGACAGGGTAGGCCACTCAGCTAGGAGGAAGCTGGCACAGGGCATGAAATAAGCCTGTGAAAATATTCGTTAGTCACTAAGGAACTGCACACTTGGCAACAATGAGATGCTGTGTCCCACCTACTAGAATGGCTAAATTCACAAAACAGCTGAAGCTGGTCAGGACGTGGGCTACTGGAACTCTCCTACATTGCACTTAGTCATTTCTTACAACGTTAAATACCTCCTTACCACAATGATGCAGTAATCTTATTTCTAGGTATTTACCTATGTAAGAGCAAAACATGTTTACATAAAGACCTGCACTTCACTCATAAATGTCTAGAGGTAGATGCAATAAATGTCCATCATGTAGCGGTGAAGTAAATTATGGTACACCCAGACAATGAACAATGACTTAGCAATAAAAAGAATTAGTAAATATAGGCAACCTGGACAAATCTTAAAAGCATTATGTGAAGTGAAAAAAAGCCGGGTTTCATTCTGTACGACTCCTTTAATATATGGCATTCTGGAACAATGAATATAGCCTTGTTTGGAGCTGGAGTAGGGGAGAGGGAATGCCCACAAAGGGGCACAAAGGTACTTTCTGGGGCAAAAACAAAAAGGTTCTGTAAGTTTATTGTGGTGGTGCTTAAATGATTGGTCAATCCTATATAATCCTGTCTCGGGTCCCTCATCTGTGTAATGAGAACAATATCAATATCTACCTCATAGGTTTTCTGTGAAGATAAGACAATAGAAACTGCTAGATATTGCCTGACTGTGCTTAGTATACGTGAGGGATGATTCTGAGTCTGAAGGTGCAGTTGCTAATTCCACCACTCATTGTCTAAGCTTGGGAAAGCTACATAACTTTGGGAAGCCTCTAGGAAGCTCTAAGTTGTGATTCCAGTATCTGCCACCTGCCCCGCATACCTTCCTGGGCATTGACAAAGATCAGATGGGAGAGCAGTGACAGCCAGTGACGGCTGGTCATTCAAGGGCAGATTATTTCCAAAGACTGGGAAAAGCAGCATCTTCTAGTATTGTCTGGATTCTCAGTCTCTCTGGAATTCGAGGGTTTTAACTGAGCTCATGCCCAGGAAAGAACTTTTGGAATTCAGTTCAGTTCCAGACAGGCTGAGTTTGAGACACTGTAGAACATTCAGGTGGAAATTTCTATGTGGCAAATGCAAATAAGTGTGCAGAGCTTGGGGAGAGGGGTGGAGACCGGGGACAATTTTTTAAAACTATTAACGAACACATGGTATCAAAATACACACTAAACTATCCAAGAAAAATGTGGAAGCAGAGAAGAGAGCCCAAGACTGAGCTCTTCTGAACACCAGAACAAGAAGGCAGTTGGGGCAGAAGCCTTAGAAGAGATGGAGGAGAGAGGTGCAGAGCAGAGGTGATGGAAGAGAAGCCAAAAGTGACGAGAAATCAGCATCTGAATTCCACAAATACCAAGAGTTCCCTTCGATGATAAGTCTACAGAGTTAAAAAATAGTAGAGTGGAGGGCCCTCCCTGGTGGTGCAACGGATTAGGATGCAGCACTGCAAGTGAGCCGCAGCCACTAAAGTGCAAGTTCGATCCCCAGCCAGGGAGCTGACCCACAGGGCACGGCAGACCTCTCCTGATCCGCCTGATGCGCCCCTCAGCAGAGTACTTCCTCTATCTGCCTGTTGTTTCCTTCTGTCATGGTGAATCCTCTCACTGCCCCTGCACCTCTGGCCTGTACCCCAGTTCTGTATGCATAAATAACTAAATCTTAAAAAAAAAAAATCTTTAAAATAAATAGTAGAGTGGGAAAAAAAAAGGCAAGCAAATGAGTCCATATCACCAGCTGCTACCTTCAGGGTAGGGAGATAACAACAGAGATTCAGAAGAGATATGGTGGAAGAGAAAGTTTTTGGAGAATGCAAGGAACTAAGTCTTCGGAAGGGAGGAGGCCACCAGGAGCTGAGCACAATGAATAAAAGAATCCTAGCAAAAAGACCCAGCATGGATAAATTCTAGAACATTGGGAAATCCTAAATCCTTCAGAGGTTAAAAAAGAAAAACAGTCAACAAGTACAAGAATGGGTGCCTAAGTAATGGGTGAATGTTTTTGAAAGAAAGACAAAAATTACTTCCAGCCTCGTCTGGATAGCTCATTATTCAATATAACATAACATATAGGACTTGTCCTTCTGTGGCTGGCTTATTTCACATGCATGCTCTCCAGCCTCGTGCACACCACAGCATCTGATTCTTTTTTACGGCTGGGTAGGATTCCCTTCTTCCAGCAGGCCACGTTTTGATTGTACATTTATCTGTCAACGGACACAGGTTATGGCCGTTAGGTTGTACTGAGTAACGCTGCGATGAACACTAGCACACAGGCCCTGCTTTCAGCTCTTTTGGGTAGATACCGAAGGGTGGAACTGGTCTCCATGTGGTAATTCTCCAGCTTTTTGAGGAGCCTCTTGGCTCCACCACAGCTGATAAAAAGCCAGTAAGTTGGGCCCTCCCTGGTGGCGCAGCGGGTTAAAGCACTGCACAGAGAAGCTTAAACCACTTGCGCATGAGTTCGATTCCCGCCTGCCCCGGAGGTGACCACATGGCGTGGCAGACCTCTCCTGACCCGCCCGCTGCTCCCCTCAGCAGTGTACTTCGTCGATCTGCCTGTTCTGCTCCCCACTCTGTCCCTGGTGAATCCTCTCACCCACTTTATCTCTGGCCTGTACCCCAAGTTCTGTCAAATAAATCCTTAAAAAAAAAAAATAATCTTTATAAAAAAAAAAAAAATACTAGTCTATGTACTTTTAGTCAGGAAAAAAAGGTTTTGTTTTTTTTTTTTAAAGAAGAGCAAGGGGAGGGAGGAAAAAAAAGATCAGCAGGAAAATCAGTAGTGTAAATAATAATATGATAATCAATAATTTTACTAAAAAGTCAACTCAGCACAATCTTAACTAAGCTCACTCACCTTTTACAATGTGGGAGGAAGAAGAGCAGGGTAGAGCCCCGCCAGACTGGTCTGAGGCAGGCAGTCCTGGGAGGTAAAGCTTGTTTACATGGATTTCACTCACAGGAATACAGTGGATATCATTAGCCACATTTTTTAAAAGAATGACTTTATTCTATAAAATAATACAGCATTCATTATATTCAACCAATACAGAAAAGCAGTCATTTAAAATCATTACACTTTTTAAATTTTACAGTTAGTTTTATCTCATAGAAAAAAATCTAGAAACCAAGGGGCTGTTGAACTTCAGAAAAATGTCTCATCATTAAGTACTACTAAGTTAGCAGTGACTCTAAAATTGAACCTGTATCAGAATCCCCTGGAGGATTTATTAAAACATACTTCAGGGTTCCAATTCCAGAGCTTCTCATTCACTTGTTTTGGGGTGAGGGGCATTTCTAACAAGTTGCCAGGTGACGCTGATGCTACTAGCCGGGGACCTCACTTAGAGAACCACTGTGTGAAGGGCTGAAAAGCTTAAGGTTGTCACTAGGTTTCCTATATTATGTAACGCTAGAAATTGTAACATGACATGACACCTGACCAAGGGAAAGGAAGCGGTTAGCTCATCTTCATCTCATGTTCCTGTCCATGCCCCAATCCACCAGTGTACCATAACTCTACAACTGTGATACCTGTTTTCAAATCTTCTGTAATTTAATGGACTCAGAGTTCATACCATTTCTTTTACTGGAACTTTGTTAGGGAACCTGGAATCCCTTTTCTTCTGGGTTCCCATTAAATGTCCAGAACCCTATGGTGACGGCACATGGGTGATTTGGTGATGGGAAGCCCACGGGGACTACGACTGAGATGGAAAAAGGCACAAAATGATGTAAAAATAAACTATGATATTATTTAAAAAACATTAAATTAAAAAAGCAAAAGGTACAGAACCAGGGTTTACTGGACCCTGCCAAAGGCACATCTTATCCTGCAAGCTTTGGCTTCCTGGGAGTTGGCTGATCCTGGGGAGTCTTGCCTCTTCCACTAAGGCTTTCCAACATGGCAAAGACCTCACCTTCCCTTCAGTCCTTGTGACCATACTGGGGACCATCATCACCAAGACGCTGTCGCTCTGGCTACTCAGTGCTTCTTTGTGTGGTTATCGCCGGCAAATTTGTTGCTGATGATGGTTGAGTTTACTAGATAAAGGCAGAAAGTTTCCAATCCAGCTTCACTTTTTCCTGCTTCCACCTAGAAGTATCTCCAGTCTTTAAAAAAAAAAAAAAAAAAAAAAAAAAAAAGGAAAACACAGGATATATTGGGTAAAATGGAGTCTGTCATTGTGCATCCATACAAATCATAATGTTAAAACTTTTTTTCTAATAGAAAAAAATGAAAATGTATCCTCCAAAATATAGCAGCTTTCTCTGGAATAATTTTATTGCTGCTTTAAATTGAAATTTATATTGACAAAATTGTAGATTTACAGGCAGCTAGAGGACACAGAGATGCTGCGTAAACTTTACCCAGTTTCCTGCAAACCACAGACATTTAAAACAACAAAACCATAATAGAAAAGTGCCTTCTGAGGTTTGTGAAACTACTAAGAAAGAAATGTGTCCAGGAAACATTCAACTGGGAATGCCCAATTTCTCTCGACCCTTTGCATCTATGTCCAGTCTATTGCTTCACAGTCTACTTTGCAATTTGTTGTTTTGTGAATCTCTTCCCCACTGGCATGAGGTTCCTCAGGGCAGGGGCTATCTTCTGTCTTCCCTATACCAGGGAATGGCCTAGCACACAGGGGAGGAAGTGGACAAGAAATGGCATATAAAATCAGATATTTCTCTTCTAAAATCGAATGCATTGGAGAATTCAAATTCTCCCCAGTAAAAACAAACCAACAAAAAACTGCTGTGGATAGCCTTTTGCTCATGCTCCATGTAACATTAGATATTTAGTTCTACTAACACATTCTACTCGTTTATTCACTCAATATTTAATGAGCTCCTGCTACTACATGTCAGACAGCATGGGAACGGTGAATAAGACATACATGGTCTCTATCCTTACTTCATACTCTGAATTATAAAGTCTTTCTTTTTAGCCCTTAGATCTTATGCACCCAATATTTTCTTAACACACACATGCTACAAGTAGGAATTTTGCAAATAACATGCTTTGCATTTTGAGACAGTGCCAAAAGTATATCCAAGTAGGTCTAAATAAGAACTTAGTTGTGGGATGATTAACACTCAATCAACCATCTTGCCCTTAAAAAAAAAGCTACAATAAGAGAATCGATGCTGTTTACCAAGTTACAATTTTACACTTCAAGTCCATTTTCCCTATCAGACTGTACCATAATGGCAGACTCCATGTATCTTGGGCCCTTATTCACTGCTCTAATTTTAGGATGGAACCTGTACAATAAGTATATGTTAGCTAAATGTAAGGCTCTTCATTCTCCCAGGATATGGGAATAGGAAAATTATTTTAAGATGTAAGGCAGATGTCATGGTCACCTAGCACAACAGAACAGTTGCCAGACCACTCCCGTGAGCACACATCTCATTCTTCCCGTAGTGGAATGTTTGCTGGCAAACCTGACTGTGGAGATGGCACGCAGCATGAGATGAGCATCTACCTCAACTCACTACCTGATTTCAATTAATCAAGTGCTCTTACCCCCCTTTTACTGATCCACCAAGGAAATGGCTTCCTATCTTTTACATAAAAGAACAGTAAAAATTTGTAGTAAGATATTTTATAATCCTGCCATAAAAAATCAAGTTCTTGCCAGATTTTGATTTTGGAAGTTCTCTGTAAGTACAGATTAGTATTTTATATCAACAGGTTCTAGAAGCCTCACATGAAATTAAATAATATTCTCATAAACTGACAAGTAACTTTTTCAAGTAGAAGGAGTAATAATATTTTATTACAAATAAATGTTCCACAAAAACTTAACTGAAAATGTATACTACTATAGGCAGAACACAGAAAACAAAGAAATAAGGTAGTGGAATCTAAAATTTCACTTAAAATCCAATCAATTTTATCTTATACAATTAGGTATTCAATACATATCAACTGAACTGAAAATAAACACCTTGCAAAATGTAAGCTGTAGTAATGAAGTACAATTTCCAAATGAGATTTTGACTGTAAGAGGCTTAAAAAGCCTTTAAAAACATGAAATGCACTGCTTGCCTGAGGGAAAGTAAGATGGAATATAGATCATACAAATCTTTACATATTTTCCATAATAGGATTTTGAAATTGGAAGAGCAAATCATTGTGGAAGACCCTTACTGAACCCATTACTAAAAATTCAGTGCACTCACAACTACCTGATGGAAAATTTGAAGCACCTTTCATTAACCTTCTTAGGTCATACCATGAAATGTATGAGTGATGTAGGCCTTGATTTTCAGAAACTTAAGAAAACTTCAAGTTATAAGCCAAAATGTCATCAGGTAAAGAAAAATCTGGTATAAAATTGCTATCATAAGGCCACTGTATAAAGTTTACATACAGATACTATACAATTCCGATAACTTTCAATATATAAATGTCTGGATATAACTCAGTTCTCTCTATCAAACCATGCTCAGAGAAAAATTCATCCACAAATAATGCCCTTTTGAGACTTTTTGGAAAAAAAAAAAAACCTAGTCAATACAACTTTTAAAATAAAATACTGCAATTTAAAAGCTAAGTTTTAAAAAGTTGCTGCATTCCACTACGGAAAAATAAACTTTTTTATCAAGAAAGTTACAGTATTAGTGCTTTAGTGCCAATTCTAACTCCTGACAAAGAGAGATGCTCCCAAATAGCGTCCTGCAGGGTCAGTTCCATCTGCAACAATTCCAGATTACAATTCCAGGTTAGATTGCTGTGGCAACGTTTGTATATTCCTATCAAGAGAAAACAAAAGAGATACAGACTTCAAAAGAAGCATCCGTTATAACATACCAGCTAGTTTTTTTGCTCATACTACAATTTTCAAAATCTTTTAACTTATATAGTTTACTTGCACCCAAGGGTCCCACAAAGGTTATGTGGAACCCCACAGATACAAACTAGCAACAGAACATATCAAAGTGGATATAAAATGATAAATCAGTAGGATAAAAGAAATATATCGCACTCCATATGTGGTATTAGTAAGTTGATGAAAATGGCACTCTGTATTTTGAGTGAGTTTCACTAGGGACATTCCTGGCAACAAAATGAAGATTCTTAAACCTTAGCCCCCTCAAGAACAGAGCCTGATGTAACAGAAATACAACCTCAAGCTGGAAATTTATCTTTGTCATTACATGGCAACTTTAACTCTAAAACTATCTTGACTGAGAACAGCAAAGAGCTGTTACAGGGAGGAAAGCTTTCTTGCTTTGGGATGGTCATCTGCAACATAGAAAGATGCATGGCTTCAGTAAACACGGGAAAAGGAAGTCACAAAAACAAGACTGTGATCAAAGGGTAATGAATATGGACTCTATTCTGTGATGCTATGCAAATATTAAATTACTGACTACAAAGTGGACATAAGACCATGCAACTAATCAAAGGGCAAAATGGAAGAATGGCATGTTTTTCAGGGTCATCAATAAATGTATTAATACATATTATCCTTACCTTTCACTAGGATCTTATATTATTAAAACTGCAAGAAATTTAAAAGTTGGTTTATTTTTTGGCATTTTTATCAGTATGGAAATGTTTAATTCCAAACAAAAACAGTGCTGATGGAGAATTCTTATTCTATTTTGGTAAACAAAATGTTCAAAATATATGTATATATTTTTTTCAACATCATTCCTTTAAAGAGACAGATTACACTGTATCCTATTTCTTTACCCATTATATAGAAGTCATTGATCGTCAAATAAAGTATCTACTGTCTACTTGCAACTTTAAAAAGAAATTCTAACTATAAGTCTAAAAAAATTGTTAGCTGAAACAGCTTGTAAAAATGTGCAATTATTTTGAATCATGTTCACCCTTGACACAGCGTCTTCCACACCATCACTGAAACTGATCCTTCCATACTTCCAGGTATTCGAGAGACTATTTTAAGCAGAGCGTTGAACTAGGCTTACAAGCACCAGCCTCTTCCAGCTTTCTGAGCCCATACTGTGCTTCTGCAAATGCACCCTAGTCCACCTTCCCTCATTCTGTCTCCTCCCCAGGATCGCTCACCAAGTGCCCAGTCCTACGTGCCGCTTAGTCTGTTCTCAGTTTAGGAAGATGTCCTACTTCACCACATCCCATGCTCAGCTGTCTACCGAGTTTGGGGGTCCCGCCATAATTTGCAAACCCCTACCTCTACCAAATCCTACATTCCACTGCCAAACATGTCCAGCTCTTCTTCATGACTCGGCTTACAACCTCCCTTTCTCTAAGGAGAGAGGAGAAATCAGAGTACTTAACACACGTCCCCTGACCATTTCTAACATGAGTGCTTTTTCTCCTCTCTTCAAGTATTTACCAGCTGTGAAAAGAGTTAACAGAGCAGACCCGACTGCCTGCGTGGACAGGCCTGCTTATTACAAGAGTGGCCCATGGCTGGCATCGGGGACTCAGCCTTCAGGGGGTTCCCATCATGAACTGGTGAGTGCTGAACCACAAGCTACATGGTCTATGCCGATTGCCTGCTTCCTTCTGAGAGTCCGGAATGTGGGTGTGTGCCCTGCAGGGGTGCCGGCTCCTAAAGACCCCGGGCACCAGTCTCTAATGAGCTTCCCTACTGGCCCCTTCCAAGGGCGCTGTCACGGTTCATGGCTGGGGGGGGATCGAGCATCCTGCATGGGAGAGGAGCTTGGACACCTGCACGCAGCACCCCTTGGTCTCGGCCCTGCATGCCAATTCCCTTTGCTGATTTTGCCAGGCAGCCTTCCACTGTGACATGTCGCAGTCGTGAGTGTCACCAGATACTCAGTCCTGAGTCTTCCAAGTGAATCATCAAACCTATGGGTGCTCTTGGGGCCCCTGACACAATAAGTGCTGTTTACTAAGTTTTTAGAACTACAGTTGCATAGTTGTGAGTGTGTGGTCTGTATGTGCGTGTGTGTACACTTTCACATAATGATTAGACTTGATGCCCTCCAATAAGCATTTTCTAAAGACTGTAAAAGGCAACAGGGGAAGATGTAAAGACTAATGAGACATCCTCTATCCTCAAGAAGTTGATCATATATTTGTGGAAATACGAAGACAAGCAACAATAGTTAGAAACCAAATGGTGGTTAGGGTAAAGCTTTACAGTGGGTTTTTGAAGTAAAGCAGGGTTTAGTAAAAAAGAAATGGAGATCACAATTTTTGGCCAAGAAATCAGCAGGAACAAAACCCCAATAAGCAGAGGGTACATGGAAGAATGTGCTTAGAAAAGTAGCTCACAGCTGAACCTGGCTGACAATTCTTTTTTTAATTGTAGTACATAGTAAACATGATATTTTCTCTAAGTAGGAAATATTCCATAAGCAGTATTAGAAAAGTTGGCTATCCACTGGGGAAAAAATTAAAACCTGACAAAGCATTATATCATAAAACACACACAAACGAATTAAATATTCATGCTTTAAAAATTAACCCTAAAACCACTTAAAGGAAACACGATAGAGAATTTTTATCTGCAAAAGCATGACATTAAATCTAGATCCACATAGGACAAAACTGACGGACTCATGAAAACAAGTTCTGGGAGTCATCATAAACAGCTGAAAAACATGAATGCCAGCAATGTATAACAGGTATAATAACCTCATTAAATCAAAAGCTTTTGCAAACCAATTTTAAAATAAAAAAATCCCTCAAGAGTAATAATGGCAAAGTGTAGAAAAAAAGAAATTGAGGGAAGTAATACAAGTGGCCAGTAGGCACATAAAAATATGTTTTTGTCGGCCCTCCCTGGTGGCTCAGCGGGTTAAAGCACAGCACAAAGAAGCTAAAGCCACTTCCACATGAGTTCAATCCCTGCCCTGGAGGTGACCACATGGCGCGGCAG